GTGGCCTCTAAGGAGGCCTGATAGAATGAAGGTGGAACATGGCAGAACAAGTCGCCTCTTTACTTCGTCATTGCCAGACCTGTTCCACTTCCGTCAAGGCGATGCGGAAGACGTGGATCCTGTCAACAATTGGCATCGAGGTCGAATCACGTGGGCGCAATCTGAGTCACTTGGCCTTGCCGACCAAGAGGTCAGTACGCCGAGCAATTTAATTATGGAGATTTCTAAAAAAAGATCTGACGTGTGATGCTTTTGGTCTTGGATAAAGTGCTCGGGCGCCGTGCGAAAAGTCTGCCAGCGCGATTCTTCACTTGTCATGTGCCTGCCGGAAGAATGCTTGATACGCGCCAACAAATCAAAAGTACATTCACCCGACTCCCGGCGTCGTTTCCCGTGCTGCCGAATACTTGCATCTGTAAGCTACTTACTCTATTTTATTTCGCCTCATCTTCACTTTGAGCCCTCTTCTTCCGCACGCCTTCCAGTGCAGATAAAGGTCAGACAAAAGTACTAGCTGGTCATAAAATGTGTTGAATGCGCAAAATGACATAATTGAGCAACTTTGCTTGCACTCCAGCCCAGATCTGGCAGTCTGGCGGTAGAACAGTTGGGTCGTCTTCTCTTTCGATTCGCAAATGAACGAATCGAGCTGATTTATTATCAAGACCACTTTGTTTGAAATATGGGCATTCAATTTATAGAAAAGTGCTGGATGAAGAAATTCGAAGTTCGATTGCACCAGAAGACGACAGCAGCTTCCCGTTGTACTGCAGCCGTTTGGCTTTAAGACAAAGTTCAGACGGAAGCACTTTAATGTCAAATAAAAATCTCCCCAATCATGTAATGTTAAGAAAGCCGCCGAAACACAGTTAGTCTTCCTATCTATAAGATCACTTTAACGCCACAATGTCCATTTTACGACTATTAACTACAGAAACACCTGGAGCTACGAACAACGTTGTCGCCTCTCTCTGTTGAGAAGCTAGGCTTGACGGCATGGTACTAATTTTCACATGAACTGGAAGACTGACTATGCTTGACGGCTTTCTTAAAATAACATGATTGGGGAGATTTTCATTTCACATTAAAGTGCTTCCGTCTGAACTTTGTCTTAAAGCCAAACGGCTGCAGTACAACGGGAAGTAGCCGTCATCTTCTGGGGCAATCGAACTTTCTATAAAATGAATGTCCCTATTTCCAATAAAGTGGTCTTGATAATAAATCAGCTCGACTCGTTCATTTGCGAATCGAAAGAAAGGACAACCCAACTGTTCTATCGCCAGACTGCCAGATCTGGGCTGGAGTGCAAGCAAAGTTGCTCAATTATGTCATTTTGCGCATTCAACACATTTTATGACCAGCTAGTACTTTTGTCTGACCTTTATCTGCACTGGAAGGCGTGCGGAAGAAGAGGGCTCAAAGTGAAGATGAGGCGAAATAAAAGAGAGTAAGTAGCTTACAGATGCAAGTATTCGGCAGCACGGGAAACGACGTCGGGAGTCGGGTGAATGTACTTTTGATTTGTTGGCGCGTATCAAGCATTCTTCCGGCAGGCACATGACAAGTGAAGAATCGCGCTGGCAGACTTTTCGCACGGCGCCCGAGCACTTTATCCAAGACCAAAAGCATCACACGTCAGATCTTTTTTTAGAAATCTCCATAATTAAATTGCTCGGCGTACTGACCTCTTGGTCGGCAAGGCCAAGTGACTCAGATTGCGCCCACGTGATTCGACCTCGATGCCAATTGTTGACAGGATCCACGTCTTCCGCATCGCCTTGACGGAAGTGAAACAGGTCTGACAATGACGAAGTAAAGAGGCGACTTGTTCTGCCATGTTCCACCTTCATTCTACCAGGCCTCCTTAGAGGCCACGCCTTAACGTCAGTCCGACTGCAGTCTCTACGTCTGGGCGGGATTCGAGCCAAGGATAGGAGGTCTGGCATGTAGCTGTTTTTCGAATAAGTAGAGTTTTCACACCACCAATAGATCAATAATATGAGATGTATACACCCTATTTCGTTTAAGTGATGATGGACTGGTAGATT